CACACACACACACACACACACACACACACACACACACACACACACACGCACATATATTCAGATACACTCACATGTTCGGCGGCCTGTGGGTCCAGCTGTCCCTGCAGCGGAGGGACAGCAAACTGGATCTTCTTCGGACTGCTGGGCTCCATTATTACTGACTGAGAGGTAGAAAGAAAGACAGACAGACAGAGAGAGAGAGAGAGAGAGAGAGAGAGAGAGAGTGTGTGTGTGTATGTGTGTGTGTGTGTGTGTGTGTCTAGGAGGGAGGGAGGAGAGATGGAGGGAGTGGTCTTCTGTCAGCCGACGGGGGCCATTATCACTAATTGACAGACTTAGAGAGAGAGAGAGAGAGAGAATAGCATTCTGGTCGTTGCAGCATTTTCCAAAACAAATCCTCAGATGCAAAATGAATTAGTTTAATAATATCAGAAATATGTTTGTTTTTATTTTTTATCTTGTGATGTTCTTCTTTATCGTAACAACCCAAAAAAGCAGTGGTGGAAGAAGTATTCAGATCCTTTACTTATGTAAAAGTACTAATACCACAATGTATTTTCACGGATTACTAAGTGAGTAAAAGTACTCATTGTGCAGTTAATTTGAGTAAATGTGCATTCCACCACTGCAAAATGTAATACTCTGAATCCTCAGGACTACAGCTGCTTAAATGTACAGCTTTTGCAGCCTCATTCAGTGTTATTTGGGTACCGTAACTCAAGAACCTTTAAAGTTAATAGGTATGCATTTAAACATAAACTATCTATGCATCATGGTTTGCATTGTTATCATTTTGATGACGGTCTTGTTTCTAATTTGATAAATCTAACGTGTGTTTTCCCAACATGAAGCCTTTTATTTCTATATTTTTTATTAGTCTAAAGTGTTGAAATAACACTGAACCTATGAAATACTGAAATCAGTCATAAGCATTTTTGGAGCACGTGAACTCCCCGAAGGTTGATAAAACCGCTAAATTCCCAGAATGCTGACGGATGAGATGATGTCAGTGTTGGAAGGAAGCTACAGCGCTGAGCTCACATATATTTAAGCCACCGTAAGTTCTCACAATTATGAGGCTCTCGGGCGTCTTGTCGTAGAAGAATTGTATATACTGACGTGGAGATCCGTGCGCATGGATTCATAAACTGAGATGAAGGATAAACTGTGTGTTTTAACAAGAAATCTGCAACAATTAATAAGCGAAGCTATGTGCATAAAGGCGATGAATCTTTCTCTATTGGCCCAAAGACTAAAAAGACTAGATGGGTTTGAGCATTTAAAACATAATTAGTTTTTTGGGCTAGATATATAAGTTAAAACTAACATTAATAATATTTGTGGGAGTATCATATGGAGCTCTTCTTGTTTGATTGTTATTTTTGAGATGTAAATTGTGTCAATCAAAGAGGAAAACATGCTTGTTTTCATTACTATGTGCATTTAGCTGTTGTGACAATGAAACACTGTGTTACATCACATCGTTCAATACCAGATGCATATTCAGTGAGTTAAGTGCAGCTCATGATGAGAGGTTTGAATCCTTCAGTATCTCACGATTTGATTCAAAATAGACTCAAAATGAGTCTCTTTGTGCTAATAAAGGTGGTTTAGCAGATATGACACGTAAGCAGAGTAAAGTCTGTATAAGAGTTTGGAGTTTCTATATTTTAAATAGTTATATTAACTGATTGCAATAATGTAAACACACATCAGGCAAAAGGTAACATTTATTAATGCTAAACTTGCACAAATAAACACTTTTACTAACAAGTTTTAGTATTTCTCAGTTCTCAGTGACTTTAAGAATAAGACGTTCATTTTATACAAAGAATAAAGATGCTGCCTGTCACATAAATACAGTTGGTAGACTAATAGCTGCCTTTATATATATTTATTTATGTGTAGGATCACTGTCATCAGTGGAAATATCTGCGTTCCTTTGTAGGATTTTTGTAATTTATTAATCGATTGAGAATCTTAGAAGATAACCTCAATTCTTATGTTAATCTTAATTTTTGCCAACGAGTTTTCATTTATTCAGAAAACAGATTGAGATGAAACTCTCCACACATTAACCAATAAACTGAAATTGAGGAAAGGAAAAAAAGAAAAAATGGAAATAATATTCCTCTTTATGTCTCTCTGTGTATCGGCCATGTCCGTTTGTATTTACTAACTCAGAACCTGCATCTTTTGCTACCAATGACATCTACGCGCGCGCGTGTGTGTGTGTGTGTGTGTGTGTGTGTGTGTGTGTGTTGGCAGTGGTGGTGGAAACACTTTGTCTCAGTGGAGACATCTGGAGAGACTTAGCAGCTAGTGTAGGTGGAACAAACCACACACACACACACACACACACACATCACACAAAGAGCTTCTTTGTATTTATTTTGTTTTTCATTTATTTGGAATCTGTCCGTCTGTGATTCCTGAAGGTGAGACAGGAAACTGTTGTTGGAGGCAAATAGGCACAAACGGTTCCCGTCGTACTGTTGAAGTGAAGGCTCACTGCAGTGAGGTTATTACAGTTTATCTTAACAGTTTATTAAAGTTAAAAACCTAAATGTCTTTGCAGCGGAATCAACAAGAAAGAAAACAGTCTTTGACAGACAGCTCAGAGTTGATTATTTTTATTGTATAAAAGAGTCACATTTATGCATCCCTAACACACAAAATAACACTTTTAAACAAACAAACAAACTCCCATAAATACACTTTTAAAATATTCGTTTTATTTATATAATGCAAAGTCTGATACAACCACACACGTTGAGACACTTAAGGCATGAAAATCTCTGCGCTGGTTTGTCCAACAGGCCGTCATCACCTCAAGACAACATGAGTCAGTTTAGTTAAAGTGAGTCTTCCTCTCAACGAGAAGCAGAGCCGTGTGTGTTGACTTAAAGGAAGAGTTTTGACATTTTGGTCAATGAGTTTATCCACTTTGATTGATACCACTCTCATGTCTGTACTGTCAACACAAAGCTGGATGGTTAGCTTAGCTTAGCACAAAGACTGGGAACAGGGGGAAACTGCTAGCCTGGCCCTGAACAAAATCCAGCCAGTCTATAAAGATCACGGGTTACATCTCGTTTGTTTAGTCTGTAGACAAACCACACAGATTACAGATGAATTAGCGGACACATAATTAGAGAGTGATGTCAATCTTAAAGCAAATTTCCCAAAACGTTGAACTGTTCCTTTAAAAGCGAGCAAGATGAGATCACAATGAAGGGGGTTAAAACTTCCAAAACAGTGTAGAGAACATTCACACACCTGATCATTCATATATCGTCTTTAAAAGTTACGGAAAAATCTGAAAATGTATTAATTTGGGGATAACTTACAGCGAATGCTCATTCTAAGTACCTTTTTCAGAGCACTGACATTCAAAAGAAGGACATTGTTTTTAAGTCTAAAGTGCAAAAACAAGCACAGCTACACACTGAATTTAACTTTATTCTCTTTAATAACTGTTTGAACAGCTGTGGTCAGTTCGTGTGGACATAATCCCTCCAGGCCAAAACATGTTTTACATGTTTATATTAAAGTGTCTTAAAAAGGTAAATACAAACACACTATACATGTGTTTTTTTGGCCCTTGTGAAGGAGTGAACTGTCTCCTAAAGAGTTTAGAGGTGAAGGATTACACGGTTCATCTCCGTCCATAACAGGATCAACATCAGGGTGGTTTCCTGTGTTCGTCGATTGTTTACGTCACTATTGTTCAGATGACGTCTCCTGAATGTGTTTCAAACAGCAAAGCAGTTCACAAGCCCGTCTCTTCATACGTCCGCGAACTTTCCTCTGTCCGGTGCACGAGCACACACAACGCCTCATTGTTGCCGATTGGCTGGAATAATGTACAGAGCCGGGTGTGTATGAACACCAGATTGTTTTTCTCAGCGCTCACACAGAACAGACAGCTGAGGACATATTTGCTGAATTTGACTAAAATAATCACTGACTGCTCCTTTAAAAGGTGATTTATCAAGACAGGAAACTAGACTCATGAGTCGTATCTGTTTGTTTTCACTGCTCTGATTCTCTCGCTAATCATTTAAAATGTTTTACCTGAAGGTTGATTTGTCCTACGGCCTCCATGTGTTTTATTTTAATATTTAATGCTAACTTAATCCACCGTAGATGAGCTTTCTTTGCTCCACTACTGGAAGAGTAGAGGCAGTTTGAGACGTGGCACAAACATGCTAAGTAAGTTAGCTTTGGCAAGTTAAAAGTGTGCAGAGTAAAGGCATCATCTGAACTCGATCCTCCATCGTTTATAAAGCACTTATTTTACGGCCCTGAGAGCTCAACACACTGCAACTAACGAAAGCAAATAAACAACTCTGTGATTGTGTCTCTTAATTTGTTTGTGTTTTGTCTTTTCTAGAGATGCAGTTGAGCTCTCAGGGCCACCGTACTTTCTGTCTTCTCAGGGTCCCATTTGGCAAAAAAAAATCAAGAAAACACTCAAATACAAAGATAAAAAGGCAGCAACTTGCACACATTCACATCTATTGACCAGTTGAACTACTGAGGAGAAGCTTTGTAGGAAAAAAGCGTGATGGCACGTTTAATGTTGGCGTTTGTGCAAACTTTGGCATCTGATGACCCTCGGCTCACTGTGAGTGTACTTTAACAGAGATAACCTGCAGAGACGCCATTTTATTTTATCAGTACGGTTTCATCCACAGCGACACTCAAGAAGCTAGCAGGAAGAGGGACGGAGTCCTTTTTATCTTTGCTTTCAGCAGACGAGCACAACTACGGAGGCCTCAAAGAGGAATGTAGAAGATGCTTGGCAAGTTCCCAAGGTAAGAAAAAAAGCTAGGCAACTTCTTGAGCATGTGGAAAAAAAGGCAGAAAATACTGTGCCAGACCTCATAAAAACAACACAACCTCCAAAATACAACATTTCCAGCACATTGTCAGGTCAGTTATTGGTCTTCACACTGCGTCAGGGAGCTGCCTACGACAATCACAGTCCTCACCTGGCCGCCACTCAGACGGTCCAGGTGAGCCGCTGTAACAGGAACGTTTTCATTCACACATTTGTCCAGGACTGGAGCTTCAGATCACAATCCCTTCCATCATCTCCACGAGTGTGTTCCTCAGCAGCTCAAAGCATCGTGTACTTTAATACTCACCGTGTCTCAGGTGCTGTTGTCTCCAGTGTGTACTGTGCAACTGAAACACTTAAAAAAAAAAAAAAAAACGAACAATCATTACGATTCCAAAGTGCACGTGTTTGGTGATCAGCTCACGTCAGAGAAAAGGTACAAGAAGGATAATCCTGGAGGAGCCGGTGAACTCATCCCTCTGCTTAGCGAAGACCACGCTGACGTTGGTGCCGTCTGGTCTTCAGATGGACAGGTCAGTGTCTGTGTCAGTGGGCGTGGTCTTTGGACTCACGCTGCCTCCCCTCTCCTCGGGGATGGAGGACGTGTCTCCGTTGACACTGGGCAGCACACCTATAACACACACACACACAAGTGTGTTACAAGTTATGGTTCGGGCTGCTATAGAGCTAGACTGCTGTGGGACTTCCTAGGATACACTGAGCTCCTCTCTCCTCTTCTATATCTCCTGCTGTATGAATTCATGTCCCATTAACGCACATTACTGACTTTGCGTCTTCCTCGGAGTCTTGGTGCTTTCTCGCCTCGCAGGTTTCCATGGATCATGGTAGTAGTATAGTAATGAAAGTGTGTGTGTTAAAGGGAGCAGCATTACTCTCGTGTATTACTGGTATTACTCTTTCTAAAACCTTGTGTTGGCTCGATCCCTGAATTCATTCTCTTGTGTGCTTTGTTCCCACCCATCCATCTTAATTATGTTAATGAATGCAGAGGCCCAAGGAGTGATCAAAAACGACCGTTTAGTTAGTTGTGCTATCTGACTATCAATGTAAGTTAAAGTGTGTCGCTGATGCAACAGGTTAGAAGTGACAATGACGTCTTCAAATATATAAAAAGGGTTTAAAAAAGGTAATAAATTTAACTTTTCCACCTTTGCATCAATAGAATAAGGCAGCGTGTCTTACGTTCAGTATCGTAAAGCGAGCTGTCGGAGCACGTCCGGTGCCTGTGCTGAGTTGACTTTTGACCTCCACTCAAGTACTCCTTTAGCACGCCGAACCTGAGAAAAACAACAGAAATAAATGATTAAAGCTCAAAAAGGAAACGTTCTCGCCTCAGTCGACATTTGTAATTATTGTTCTGGCTGCCTCATTTAACGTTGCATACACTAGACAATAGATTTTGTACAACCACAAAAAAAACACATTTAATTTTCCAAGATCAGGGGGAGATGTTTGCTTCCTCTGAGGAGATAAAACCATTTACTCTCTCTCTCTCTCCAAGAGATGAAAGTTATCAGAGATGAACGGAAAGAGCTGCAAAGCAAAGTGTCTGCAGAACGTCCTCTAAAGCTTTAGTTAAATCTACTGCCTTATATTCAGCACCACACTGTTTCTCATTCACCTCAACATGCTCTTTAGCTCTTGTGACATTACAACTCATTATGACAGATCCTGTCCAGTAGTTTTGTTTAAATAACATAAATAAAACGTTTTTTCAGGTGTCATAATGAACATAGTAACATGTTTTGCTTGATGCTGTCTCTTCTTAATGCAAATGACGGGGGATGAAACTCACAGTCCTCGTTATGTACAAAAATGTGTAAAAAAGTTAATTTCGAGGCAAGAATCAAGTGGATATCTTCCAAAGTTGCAGCATTTCTTGTGTAAAATTCTGAATTTCTTTGCTGAGCTGTGGAGGAGAGATACTAACACACAAAGAGGGAGTTTCTCACTGAAACAACTACTTTTGGAGGATATTCTACTTGATTTGACTGCTGAAGCTTCATATTAACTTCAGATAGATTTTATTTTTTGCAAAGGACAAGAACTCCCAATAAAAATGATTTAGTAAAATATGCTGTAATGACCTCTGTAAAACAAGTAAAACATAGTTCATATGAACAACTGACTATTGTTTTAATAAAGGCGTAAAAAGATGTGAAGCTGTCCGTTAAGCCGACACAAATGATTTAATGTCATGTGCGTTGCTGCCTCCTGGAGGCCAAAGTTAATAGTAATTCATTACAGCAGCCATGTATGATGTCAAAGTGCATAAAATCCTGATGTCTCTGATGATGTCTTTGTTTTACATTTTTTACGGTATTGTTATCATTTATTTCATATTTTATTTGCTGATTAACATTTGATCCTGTTATGAATGCACTTTGCGCTGCATCTGTGCATGAAAAATGCTAAAAATTAAGTTATTATTATTATTATTATTTTATTATAAGTAGAGGGAAGCGGGCTCGGCACCGTGTGTTTGAACTCACCGGTCAAAGCTGTATGTTCCAGGGTGACTGATTGACCTCTTCATCTGTGCAGGCGGACAAAAAGACAGAAGAGAATACATTTTAATTAGTACAACGGTATTTAATAATGGAGGATGTCCATCCTGCAACGACAAAATATCTGCATGGAAGAAAAAAACAAGTGAAAAACGACGCGGGCTTCAGCTACGAGCAGAACAGCGTTCACTAATGTCTAATGTCTACACTTTTGTGTGAAAGCGTGTCATGAATTACCCTTTCAGGAGGTCGAAGTTCGGGGGTCATACTCTGGTTGGCGAGGGTCATACACTCCTCCAACGTCCTGATGAAAGTTGCACAGGTTGCACTGAGTAGAGACGCCTGGAGACACGGAGACAATACAAATAACCTGTAGTGGTTACTGCATCACTCACTCATAAGATGAATAAAAACATCCTACAGTAGATGTAAGAAGTAACCCTTTCTGTCTGTACAATGTGTGTTTTGGTACGAGTCTAACTTCGTGGAAATAACGATGGGACAATCAAATGTTTGGGATTAACAGAAGATGTGTTGCCTCAGAAGTGGGCGTTTCCTCTGCGTCAGAGGTGTGCTGTGATTGGATGGTTTGGACCTGCTGGACGAGGAGGTCGCAGTACAGACGAAGTTCAGACATCTTCGTCTTCAGACAGTCTGGACCTGGCAACACACACACACACACACACACAGTTAAAAGTGTTTTCCTACAGAAGGAGGAAACAACCCAGAGGAGGCAGACAGACAGATGTGTACCTTTGTGTTTGTGACTGTCCAGTGTTCCAGCTTTGGACGAGCCTAAAGCCACCAGCCACCTCTGTCGCTCCGCGGCGTTCACAGCTCGGACGTAGAAATGCTGCTCGCCGGGGATGATCAACTCCAGACGTGTTATATCCGTCGGATGAACTGAGAAATAAAACACAAACGGTGTTTGGTGGACGTGTTTGAATGTGTTTAGCACCACGAGTGAGGACGGGCGAAGGTGTACAACAAATGAAATCTGACCTTTAATGTCACACACGGACATCTTGATGGATCCTTTGCTTCCTTTGCCGACGTCGTCCTCGCTGTCGTAGTAAGAGATGACTCCGTTCTCTAAGACGAACCAGCGCGGCTGCCAGCCTGAACACAGAAGAGCAACAAATGTCTGTCTCTGTAAACACTTTAATGTAACTGATGCACCAGAAGCAGAGATATTGCATGAATGGTTGCAACTAATGATGATATTATGGTATGTTCAGTGATAAACCTGCTCACCCTTTAATGTAATATCTGAGTCGACCTCGTCCTTTGTCACAGTTGAAATAATAAATTAACTTAATGTTGACGTAGTTTGCTTCCCCTTTAGTTAAATGTTTCTACATTTTGCACTGAGGCCATTTGAGCAACAGATCATGTGACTAACTTCCTCGACTAAGTGCAATAAAAAATGGGGAATTAACTAACTGGAACAGTCTTCCAGTTAGTATCCGATCTGCTGACACTGTTTCTGCTTTTAAATCCTCTCTTCGCCTGACAATTAATTTGATTAATTTATTCATTAATTTAATTCTAAATATAGCTCTGTTGTGCAACCACTTGTTTTTCACCTGTCCTACCTTACATGCTTTGCAATAATTCATCTGTAAATGTATTTTATACAGCCTTTTAATGGTGTGCTTTTATTTTGCCGTTTTTATTTCTTGATATATTTTGTATTGGAATTGATCTGTAGCAGTGTATATGTTCTCTTCTATCACTATTATTTATACATGCTGAGCTGCCATCATTAAGGTCAGATGCCACTATACTCCCTGTTACTGTGGGCTGCTTTGTTATTGCTATAATGCATAATTAACTGATGCCACATTAGCAAGAGCTGCAGGTTTAAATATATCTTGAAATAAGCTGCAGTAAAATGACTGTACATGAATATCTGTGCCGAAATTGACCGTTTAAAGGAGGATTGTTAGACATTAGCACTGCTGGCTAAAACACAAACACCACCATTCATCATTCAGTCACTGTGGTTGCAGACAGACGGTTCTCTAAAACATCTGTCAGACAGAGAGACAGTTCTCTAAAACATCTGTCGGACAGACAGACGACTCACCCGTCATGTAGTTCGTCCATTTGTACAGAATCCCCTCCATGGCTGCACTTTACATCGGCTAAAATTAGCCTGTTAGCTTCCCCCGCTGTAGCTCGACAGGCTGGCTAACAGTAGCAACAAGCTAACTGGCTAACGTTTAAGTGTTAGCAGGATAATGTCATGTTGATGTGTGTGTGTGTGTGTGTGTGTGCTAAGATGTTCATAAACTGGGCAGCGAACTTGTGGACAGTCAGCTGATGGAGGATAAAAAAAAATGTCAACAAAACAGCAGCTATTCTACGGAAAGCTGGTGGGGACATTTCCCAAGGAGACTGAAAGTAAGGTGCTACTACTACTACAAGGATATGAGTGGAGGAGGAAGTATTCTATCCTTTACTTAAGTAAAGTACTAATACAACACTGTGAAAATACTCCAAGCCCTGCATTCAAAACCTTACTTAAAGGATAAGTACTCAACAATTATCTGCAGATTACTCAAAGTAGGAAAAGTAAAAGTTGTCTTTATGGAATAAAATCTTCCTTCTCAGTGTTTTACTATTTATGTTTTTTTGAATAATATTACTGCTGCATTAATGTGTATTTTGCATAACTACTTCTTGTAAAGCTAATTATTTTTAAATAGTGTATATCATAAGAAATGCATACAAATAATACTTCATCCTTCAGATAGATAAAAAAAAAAAATCAACCAAATTTGGAGATGCATTGTTTTCACTGGACAGAAAGGGTATGGATATTACATATTTGACATTTTTGAAATATGACATGTTAAAATGCAAGACATTAAATTAAGTTTTATTTGTATAGCCCAATATCACAAATCATTAGTTTCCCTCAGAGGGCTTCACAATCACAAAAACACGACAGCCTTTTATTTGATTTTAGAGATGTAAACAATAGAATGTGGCTGAGAGCTTCACAATTTTCAAATAAAAACAACCTGGCAGGTGAAAGTCATGAGGGACCACTAACTTACAAAGAAATACTTACAAATATTGATTTTATCAAGGAAAAGGATCGATGATCTCCGTCTGGACACCGTGTTAAAACTCCACAGGTTCATCCTCTGCAGCTGGTGGCTTCTGTGTCTATTTCTTGATTCAATGTTTTCAGGGGCAAGTAAATCAGCTTTGCAAAAAGGTTTTTGAAAAAGGTTTGGTGCATTTACATAGTTAATGTAGTCTAGTACGTCAAAGTGTGAAAGATATTCACAGATTTCAGACACAAACGATGCCTCTTTGCAGCCACAGTAAAGTAGACAACAGGCTACAACCTAATGTTTTTATCAACATTGCTTATGCTAGTCATTTGTACATAGTCATGTAGGGTTGTTGTAAACTGTACTTTATGGACAAAGAAGTTGACTAATTGTTTTCAGTCACAAAGAGAACAAGTGGGTCAAATAAAGGATTACAGGAAATCACGGCAGGAAAACGAATATCTAACGAAAGGGTGATTTTTTCAGGTGAATATTTGTTCCATGAATTCAAAGTTGAAAAAGCAGTTACACAGTAACCGACAGAGCAGCATGTTAAACAGGAAGGAAGACTTTACACAAGCAAGTGAGATAATATCAAATGCAAATAATAATCAGAGTGATCCAATTTTCATAATTCTTAATCTCTCTTTATTGCATTAGAACATACATTTCTCATATATATCTATATATATATATATATTTTATAAATGTGAATTTGTACACTACAATCTTTTATTGTAACATGTTAGAAAATACTCGTAACGCTCCAAAAACATAGCACTAAAAACAGTTACCGAACAATGATTAGTACATTTCCTTGTTTTTGTTTTGGCCACCAAGAACATAAAAAATAAAAACAAGATGGCGGAGACAAAACCGTCAATCAGGAGGAGAGGACCACGGTCGAGAGACAGACGGTTGGACCATCGTGGTTTTTTAGTGGCAGCCATTTTGTAAACCAAACGGATGAGGATGTGGGGGGGGGGGGGGCCATCACAACAGGTGCACAGAGGAGGAGATATGAGGAGGCAAAGCGTGGACTCTGGTGAGCATCAAGCACACGTCGTCGTGAGCATCTCATTTACTGACAAACATCTGGTTATTGTTTGACCATCCAATCTGCAGTTAAACGATAAATCAAACTGTTGTAGAGCTCCAGACTTTTCATCACACAGTTTAGACTAATTAGCCTTAAAGCGTAACTCAGACTTCACATCGACATCGAATTAAATGCCTTTAATGTGAAAGGGTTGCTAGAGCTGCTAATCCCGCCGAAAACTAGCATCCCGACTCTGCAGCTGTCAGCTCATTGTTTAAACTCGCCGGGCTGAAGGACATAAAAAGTGGCAGTTTACAGGAAATCGTAGGAAACAAACTCACACCATCTGATGAAACGCTCCCTGCTCAGCCCAGAACCGTCTGACTAACAATGACTTCTTATATATTTAGCAACAATATTTTCTCAGGGTTTGTGGAGCAAAACGGTTACAAAAAAGAGGGAATATTGGCCCACGTTGTTCTGTTTCTGATGGATATGTATGTTGGCTAACTGTTTCTTTATACGCCGATACACACACTTCTTCTCCACCACCAAAGTGAGAGCGTCAACTCCACGACACAAACTTTCAGGCAGTATTCTGTCCAATGTCAAGATAATGTGTCATCACTTAACACAAAGGATTATAAAGCAATACTTTGGGTTGCTCTTTTCTTTGTAGCCCGGTGAGCCCAAACTACGTTCGTTGTTTCATTAGTAACCAGCAGCTCTTTGTAAGTTCAGACTCGTCTTCCTCATCATAAAGGGTTCATAAACACTAAAAAACTTGTTTGAACTTTGGCAGAAACTTCTGTGCTCATGTAGGATCCTGTTACTGAAAGTAATAACTATTAACCTCACATATTTCTCCGTGTATGAATAAAGCAAAGTCATACCTACACTTACAAAAGACTGGAAGTCAAGATTAATGTCTAACCTCTTAAAAGCCAAAGCTTGTGCTGTACAGTGACTTCCTGTTTCCATAATTGATTGCTTGTGATTGGGACGTCTCTCAACAATAGATTCACACACTAAAGTCTTAACGAGATAAATCTCTAATGGGGCGACTCCATTTTGTAACTCGCAAGTTTAAAACTAGCTTTCTGCACAAAGTGAAGGATTATACGAAGAGCTGGTGCAACTCAGTCCAGATGTTTAGCGGTCCAGTTAAACAAGCCAGCAGCAGCAGCAGTGAGGATGGAGGAAGAGGGTGGAGCACGGTGAGAAATAAAAAGCAGCAGGGAAGCTAAGTTGTATCACAAGAAGGTGGAGACAGAGGCGGCTTGAGGACCAGCATGGAAAGCAGTGACAATCTAGCAGAGTGATGGGGAGAGGGGGGGGGGGAGTCAGGGTACAGTATAACCATCTAACACACAAACACACACACACACGCACACACACACACAGCGAGGTTTAAAAACTAGTGCTACAGACACAGACGACTGGCACTGCAGGGAGGAGCTATCTGCATGCGGGTTAGGGAGGAGGGAGGAAGAGGAAGAGGAGGATGTGAGGCATCAAGGAAACGTTGAAGATAAAAAACCCTCTATTTGTTTGAGCAGATCGGAGAAAATAAAAGTCGTACAACACTGCGTCACATCACGGAATGATTGTCCTCTTGAACAAACCTCCCCTCCTCATGTACACTATTCATGTCTCTTTTTTTTTTTTTTTTTAACCTTTGTGGTTCTCCATCTTTTTTAGTTTTACTTCTCAAGGATTTCCTCTTTCATTACACACACATACACACAAAACCCTGTGACCATAAAAGACATTTATACACACACACACACACACACACACACACACACACACACACACACACACACACCTTTGTTTTTACGGCTGACTGGTCTGTTAGCAGGAAGCAGAGGGCTGGATAGTGCACATGTTTGATTCTAGCAGAGCTTAAAGTGCAGTCTGTTATTGATATGACAATCAGCGCTACAGTGGCACAAGATAACCGCACTAGTACAGAAGTCAATATCAACTACTGCAAATTCTAGAAATGAGCCCCCCCCCCCCCCCCCTTAGTCCAAGAGGTGTTTTCAGATTAGGTCTTGATATATTTAAATCATTTTCTGAGCGAACTTGCTCTGCTGCTTTTTGTTGTTAGTTGAAAAAAACAAGCAATTTGAAGGAAAGTGTGATCACAATTTTCTATCATTTTATAAACCAAACGATTAATTGGTTAATTGAAAAATAAAGAAAAACATAATTGCTTATAACAACAACCAATAAAGATTGAAATAGAAGCTCTTAGCAGATCTCAAGTCCTCCTCGTTTCAGGTGCACGCACCTACATTTAGGACATGTCCTGTTTCCTTCCTCCCCCCTCCTCCCCCCCCAGGGAGCAGTATGGTGGTTTATGGTGTTAGGTTCCTAAGGCAGTATCACAGTACAGTCCATAGAGAAACAACAGCAGTACAGAATTACACTGGCCTGCCCAGAACCTTACATCCAGCTCAGGTGGGACACTGACGGCATCTGGATTTTCTTTTTGTTTTGTTTTAAAGCCTCCGGTTATTTGGTTTACACTTTCCCCAAAAAGAAAAAAAGGGTACGTTGTTTCCGAGCAATGTTGGTTGAAATTTTAGCAGTTTGCTGAACATTCAAACCGGGAAGCAACGAGGGGAAAACAGAAGATTCTGAGGTAAATTAAAAGTGTTAAAGTCTCATTAAACTTTTCCTGTGGCACCCCGGTAGCTCAGCGGGCTAAGGCACATGCCGAGTTCTTGCGACATCACTGGTTTGAAACCGGCTCATAACGTCATCTTCTCCTCACGTCTTCCCAACCACGCTCCACTGTGGACGACAGAATACTGTGATGCCTGACAGAGACACTCATGATTACTTATGAACACAACTGAAGACTTCAGTCTTAACTTGCTACCTTGACTGTAATCAAGGTAGCAAGTTATGTTAACTAGTTTAGTAGCTGAGTGAGCAAACACAAAACTGTGGTAATAAAAAAGGTCTTCTTGGTGATTTAGATAATAAATATCTTGTGTTTTTGACATAGTTTAAATGATTGTCCTGCAAACACTTGTTGGCTCCAGATACTCTGGATTTTCTATTAACTAACTATTAATTGAATATCTTTTGGTTTTCTTTTCACTTTGGGCTCTGGGAAATAGTGACAAATTATTTCATTATATAAATCAATAATAGAAAAAAGAAGGTTAGAGCACAGATATCAAATATCTCAAATCATTACAATATAAAGTTATTAATATAATAAAAATGAAACTCGAGGCATCCCATAAAAAGTGCATCCTTTCTGTTGTGACCACAGTGGAGCGTGAAGCGGCCTAAACAAGACACTGGGTGAGCTGCTACTGGACATGGGGGGGGGGGGGGGGGGGGGGTTGGGAGGTTGGGGGGTGATCTCCTGCTCCGTTTACGACTTCTCGAGGCCTCCAGTAAATTCAGTGGCACAACTCTCAGATATAGGGTTCTGGGCCAGAGGATGTGATGTGTGTTGGTTCCGGCACCGAGGTCAGACAGCTCAGGTTGCCCTTTTTTTCTTTACGTTGTGCTGCGATTCAAGAGGTTCAACTACTCGCTAGGACTATTAAGACAGTTACGTATTACTACTAAGTGACAACGACCGGAGCCGCTGGAGCCTCCAGGAGTGCCAGAACCAACCCAGACGTCTCTGGTTTGGGTGATATCGTAGTGCGTGTGGTCTATAGTACAGTAGCATCAACACAATGGTCCAATAGACAGATCAGATAGAAGATATCATACAGATGGTCCAATACAGTTATAGTACAACATCTATACATCAACTATACATTGTGCGTCCTTTTTTTTTTTTTTTGTCCTTTGTTATATTTTGACAGGGGTCTCATGGGGTTAGACTTGGTCACCATTACATCACTGCTTTAAGACGGGGGAGGGGGGGTTGAAATAGTGGTGTGCAGAGCCACGGATAAACAGCGTTTCATCATCTTAGACACCGTTAGTGCTGCAATCCTGGTACTGGTGTGTGTGTGTGTGTGTGTGTGGAGACACACAGCTAGAGTGCAAGTCTGTCAAACAAATGTACGTAAGTTGAGTGGAGTGGCAGTAATAAAGCAAAGGCAAGTTGTTATTTAGTAATTTAGAGGTAGAGATTTGGAGCATTCAGCAGCTGGAATCAATTCAGATCACTTCTTGGATAAATACTGTAAAATATGACCGTGGATGGATTTTCAGGGTTTTGTATCATCAGTATGTGTTTTTTTTAAATATACGGCACGCTTGTTAAACAGCTTTCTATAAAAACAACAGTGTCACATACCGCGTTAGAGAGACGCAGTCCAACCTGACCTAACTCTCTGTCTATCCATGGCTCTAGTTCCAAAACAGGGTTTTGGGTAGAAGGGTCACAGGTTAAGGGGTTCGGGACACTGAGGACTTAAGGGGGTAAAGGGTTTAGGCTGAAAGGACTACAGGGGTTACAATACTAAGAGTTCTTTTTAAAGGAGTCTGGATGATGAGGTGTTGAAGTTTGGAAAACGACAGTCAAGGTTTACAGCGATGAGAGATTCACCGAGATACTGGATTTGAGAGATTCACGGGTGAAGAGGACAAGGTTAGCATGAGTCTTATGGGTCGGTAATGTTAGGATATGACTGTGGCCTTCAAAACTATAGCAGGGTCTTCTATGTCAGCTTTACTTTGAACCATCCTCAGCTCCAGCTGGGGCGGACTGGGCCTCCGACCAGGACCTGCTAACTCTGAGAGACAGAGGGGGGGGGGGGTGCACAGACGAATAAGATTAGCATTTATTTTAAAGCTACGCAAACTAAAGTGAATACACGTGACAGCAGAGCAGCAGCTGAAATACATTCTTCTGCATTGGGATGTTTCTGCCACCTGTGATGATTGTAGTTTACAATCTGAAACCATATCTACATCTGTATCTTTTGGTGCTTTTCCTTTCCCGGTCCAATAAACCACTCTCCCTTTTTATGGATAATCTGGAGCGTGATAAAAGTACAGTAAGTGGTGCTTTTGAGTGAGTTACAGTGACTTTGCATCTAAAAATACAACCCTCATAGTGTTACGCAGCTGTGATTGCAATCGGGCTGAATGACATCAGAGATGTACTGGACACAAATAGATTTCAAGGACGTGAAAGCTGTGTGTTTATTCACTGATTCCTTTATTTTGATTCCCTGGCTGGAAATAGAAAGTGTGAGAGTGAAACTGAACTTCACTAAACTCACCAGAGGGAAAAATATATATAATCAGAGCTTTAAAAACACACATTACATGCGTGTCACAAAGTCTTTGTGGAGTGTTGCGTTCGATAAAAGAAGCAGATCTATTCTTATAATATTTAACAAATATTGCTATCAACAAAGCCATCGCAAAACCCCACGTCTCCATGTATCTCAGCATTAAATAGATGATTAGATTAGGGTAAAGGTTTAGGCGTTGATTACAAGCTCTACTTTTCTTACCGTGAGCATATGAAATAGTCCTCTGGATAACATGATGCATCACTGAAAAAGTCTTCTCACAGGCCATCTGAGAAGAGTGGGAATGAAGTAGTTATTGTTATTAGCATTTCTGATAAAAATCAAAACCTAAATTCCCTGTGTTCCGCTCAGCGTGGCCGACTTCATCTTCAGTCGTGTTACTGCACCTTTAGGTCATTGGGGTAGTGGTGCGTCCACGCTAGCAGCATAGCAGCAAACAAATCTCCAGTTCCCACGAAGACGGCGTCGACTTTGTGAACTTCCATTCGAACTCTCTGCGTCGTCCTGCTGCCGTCGGGACGAACTGAGCGGCAAAGACACGACACGTTGGAAAAAGGCTCGTTTTCTGTCGACAAAAACAAATACGACTCACGCGCGCACAGACGACTCGCACGCACAGACGACTCACACATAACGTCAACCTACCTTGGCGCTGGCTGCCCAGCGACACCAGGAAGCGGTCTCCCAGTCTGGAGGGCAGATCGGAGGAGGTGATGACCACTGTGTCTGGGCCCATAGCATGGAGGAGGTCCATAACCTACAGACACTCATGTATTTAGTCAGCAGCAAGACCAATCAAGCAAGAAAACAGCTTATTCTGTAAAGTACTTATGCAAGAAGAAAGGAAAGGGAGGATTGTATCGTGAGCGATCTCTTACCTCTACAGCGTCTTTCTCTGTGGTGATGTTTTTCCCCGTCAATAATCTACAACACAAGCAAACAGCGATGTAACATCCACTGAAAACACAGACGTTCCCCTTTAAAAGAAAAGACTTTGAAATAACGTCTTGTACTCGTGCCAGTTATGGGAACACACAAGTGAGCCTTTAATATTTAGGAAAACCTTTAATATGATCTGCAGACGTACGGAGACACCACTAGGTGGAGTAACTTCACAGTGAACATAACCGAGTTGAGACACAGTTATCTCTTTAACTGTGGCGTAAAGTTATTGCTTTTCATAAATGCAGCCATTCAGTCAACGCAAGCAAAAAGGAAGCCGACAGAAACTTCGTCCTGTTTCTCAATGGAGATCTTTGAAATAAATGAAATAATGTATATTTCAATTTGATTTTACTGAGGAGCCATAAACAACATAGTATTTTAACTTTGAACAAACAGTGACAATGTAGGATAAATTAAAATAAATCTACTTTTAAAGCTACGTGGTTTAAAAGGGTAAAACAAGAAGCATCAGCTGATTCTTTCCCAAATGTGTCAAACCACAAAATGAAGGTGTTAGATAACATGCATGAGTGGCCTTACATAAAGATGTTGCTCACTAATGCTCTGCTACTCACACTGTTACTCACTGAGGTGACGGTAATCTAAACTAAGCAAGTAATTACAGATGTGTCACGCTAGATTTATATCTATACAAATCTGCATATGTGAAAATAAATCTTGTACTCACTCGGCCTCAAACTGGTTGGGAGTAATAATGTCAGCGACAGGAACCACCTTGTTCTTATAGACCGGATACAGGTTCTGAGGAACGTACTGAGGAAGGAGACACAAAGCTCTAAATGAAGGACTACACACACATGAATGAGGGGGCCCAATCATTCCTCTGGTCTTTGTTTTAAATGATGAGCTCTAACATCAGAATATGATCTTAAATCCCTGAAAACACACAGAGTGAGTCACTGTGTGTGTGACACACCACCCCACCACAGCACTAACACACTGAAATACATCCAGATAAAAACACACACAAGGATGAGCACTAAAACCCTCCCACACACATTAAAGGCACAATAATCTAATAACAACAGACACACACACACACAACTGCAGCTGCAGGACATGGAGCATAGAACTGCCAGTGATCTCACCATAGATCCATGATCACCGAGGACGGGGTCACACACTGAAACGACACAAACACACTCAGTCAGTCAGAGCGAGACAGAAATACTGCAGCGATAGGGAGGCGTGACGCTGGATTTGGAGATGTAAACACATCCAACACAGCATGTAGAGGCACAAAGACGACTGAAAGGTCCGGCTAGTAACTCTACATTACACATCTGGTGGCAGACAGCTGCTGATTTAAAATCCAGCAGGTACGCCACAACGTTAGCATTTATTTAAAGTCGTGTCTCCGTCCATCAGGCAAACGTCTTAAAAATTCACTCTTCTGATTGTTTAGTTTTGATCTCCTCTAACTCCTAAAGGGAAATATCTGTCTCTGTAGCTTCAAAATGCTACATTATGCTCACCAGCTAGTCGTTAACATTGCTGGTAGTTTAGTTGTCTGGGCAGGTCGGTTGTTAGCGGGTTTACCTGAGATGTTTTGCTGTAACAAGAGAGCGATGAGAGCGAACCAAAACAGTAAAGCTGAGGGCTGTTCAACCAAAACAAGGATCTGAAAGACGCTAAAACGCTCTGCAGAGATGAGAGGAGATGTGGAGTCAGGTGATAATTCTCTGTTGGTGCGTCACTACGAGTGCCACCTCTTAAAACATGCAGTTAGAAAAATCCCTCAATCTTGACACAAACTCCAGCATTTTAAAGAAAGAAATACAATGTTAGCGATGAAATAAACACTCATTTCTCCACTTTAAGCGGTCTTTATATATTTAAGAATATTTAAATATCAGTTCTAACATGAAACCTGAGATTCAGTATTAATACCAGAATAATAGTTTATTGTTTTACAACAACCTACAAGGAAAAGATCTTTTCTAAACGCAGAATAAAAATGAACAAAATGAAGGTTTGAATCAGTAAATCTAATGCAGCATCTGGTGCCATCTTATAATACTTGACGGGTGCAGTACGATAGTTGATTTGGACACAGTTCGGCATAGTTTTAAGGTCTGACCTGCAGCCGTAAGTAGTATTGTTGTTATTTGAACAGTGGCAGTAGGTCTTATATCCACTAACACATCGTCTTGATTTGAGTGAAACTGATTTGTGCAACATGAGATGAAAATCCTCCGGGCTAGAGAGAGCTGTCCACAGCGAGAACGGGATTAACGTCGAGCCACATTTGAATATTTAATGCGATTCATTTTGGGTTATCACTTTAAATGTTTCTGTATCTGTTGGTGGATTTTGTTTCACTGTCACACATCATTTAATGGTTCATCATCAGAGGCCGAATGTGCGTAGTGAGTGCGGTGTAACTCATATTAAAGCTGCACTAAATCACATGTTTCTGACAACAATGGAGCGAGTGACTGTGTGTGATGCTGAAGCGGTCACTCAAGGTGACAAAGCCACAGAGAATCATCACCTGACTGCACCGCTGGAGTTGTTTTTAGCCTCTTTTAGCTCGGAGCAAACTTGGCTCCCCTCAACCCTTGTTTCCAGCAGCAGCAGCAGCTATTTTCATCCAAAAAAGGTTTGATAAACCTGCCGTCTCCAAGCTACCTGTTCCCCTGTGATAGGTGAGCATAACGGAGCATCTAGCAGCTAAACAGCCGGATAAATGAAAGGAGCTTGATTACGTGGATTAGATTATAGTGCAGTACTTTATGTCGTATAAGTAGGAACCCTGTGGTTACTTACCATACACCAGGTTGGGGTTGGCTCTCTTTAGCTCCTGAACGATGTCCACTACCATCTCCAAGAAGGACGTGTCTCTGGTGTACCCTGAACACAACATAACCATTATTATTATTAACACTTATCAGCTATTGTACTCTGTGTAAATGCACATTATTTGTTAAGCTAAGCAGAAAATAGCAGCCACTCGGGCATTCTTGGATTAAAAAGAAAACCGAAACTTGCAGCGGTTACATTTCAATGCTGTGTAACTCAATGCTCATCGAGTTATTTTTATTAAATCACAAATTTAGTTACACAAAAGAATGCTCTGCTATTAGATCCTCAAGGTTTTCACTGTGATCTCAAGTTTTGTAGGAACAATTTACACACAAGTACTGACGAAGTAGAAGGAGACGGGAGGGAACATTGCTGCAGGATTACCTGAACACAAACATAACATCACCTTAACATGAAGCTGAAGCCTGTGGTGGAGTACTCCAAACACAGCGGTAGTGTAGTGAAGTACGAGAGTAAAGTATTCACCTGTTAAAACATAGTCGTAGTGGTGGACGTTGTTCAGTTTGATGCCTTCATAAAGGACATGGAGCTCATCGGCTGTCAGGACTTGACCTCTCCAATGAGAATAACCTGCAGAGGGGAGACCAGTTATTGTGCTCGCTCAGTTGCTGACTCTAACATTTTGCACATCCCCCCCCCCCCAATTCTATTGACACATCAAGAGAGACACTCATACAATCATACACACACACACACACACACACACACACACACAGTATATGCTTACATTAACACCCCCTATAGCTGACACACACATTAAAACCCCTGTATTCCACTAACCTGATGAAACTTTTAAACTTTACATTAAAATGTGGTTTGTCTGGGCGGGTTAGAACACGACTGTTTCGTCCTAGCGAGTTCACACAATGCTGATTAAGCCTGTATTTATACTAGAGTTGTGGTGTCCCGCAACTTTCACGACTTTAGGATTTTGCGCCACATCTTTCACGACAGTGTGGACTCTCCCATATGGTAGTTACTGTTATGGTAGAGCTTTAAAATTAAACAAGCTTTTGAATGCAGGACTTTTTATCAGCAATTAAGTATTTTTACTGTTTTTTTTTTGCCATTTTACTTCAGGAAAGGATCTGAGTGCTTCTTTCCACCTCTAGTCTGAATTCATGCTCATATCCAGCTGTTCTACAGATGTTTTTCACTGATACAAAGGTTACTTCTCCCAAAAGAAAAAATGACAATCCAAACTCCAAAAATCGTTCTTAAATAAAGATTTTTGTTTTAACTGCTCTCTGCCAGCATGACTCAAAAGTCTCTTCTTCTTCTTCTTAGTCCACGTGACTTTTGCTTGTAACCGAGTAGTGTGAACATACACACACAGACAGACAGATCTGGATGTACATGAATGCGACAGGAATGCTAATGCGAGCGTGCGTTGGTGCGCGTCAGTCTGCGTATGACATGTTTGCTGCAGGCCGATGATGTCGCAGCTTCAGGTGAGTCACAGCCGGGTCACGTGGTGGTGGTGGTGGGGGTGGGGGGTTCTGGTTGCTAAGCAACAAGCCGGGAGAAAGCCAAAGGCAGAAAGAGATGAGCAGTCATAGCGCTGTGTGCATGTGTGGTGTATAGTACGTGTGTGTGTGGTGTGTGTGTGGTGTATGGTGCGTGTGTGAATGAAGGCAGGCCTACAGATAAGAGCTGCTTCTGTCGTCATCATTCGCTGGTGTCGCAATTTGCAACCTGCTGCTGTTTACCGCTGCGTCCTGTCGCCCTCTCTCCGACTCCCTCCGTCTTTTTCCTCACTCCCACCCTGTCTGTCTCTCTCTCTCTCTCTCTCTGTGTCTGTCTGTGTCTCTTTCTCTGTCTCTCTATTCACCTTCTCTGCCCCTCTCTCCCTCCTCAGATGCAGACGTCGTCTTTAATGTGTCAAACCAAATTACAAACACTCTTTGAAGAAAATTGCAAATGTTTGGCCTCCACAATAACCGAGATCTGATTAAACAGGCTCCAGAGTCTCAGGCTGTTTTGTAATAAGGTGAAACAAACACAATTTACACCACAGATGTGAGGATTTATTTCTGTTGAGGAATCTTTGCATCGTCCTCAGTGTCATTGTCTACTCTGTACCACACTACCAGTGACCATGAGACCTATGACTACAACAGTCATTCCTATCCTTGTCTAATTGGTTCCTAAAGATTTAAATTGAACGTGATTTAGCTCGGAGCTCACAGGAATCCAGTCTAGACCGTGTTCAGGCGGATAAGAGCGCTGCAAGAAGATCCACAGCCCTCTAATTCATTTCAATCATCAACTTTAGCTGCAACACAATCAAAACCATGCAAGCAGGCGGCAACCTCTGGTTCTACTGAGTGAAGCCGATGCAGAAGTGTCTTAAAGCTGCATTCTCTCTACTGACCACCAGGGGGCGACTCCTCTGGTTGTATAGAAGTCTACGAGAAAATGACTCAATCTCTAGTTTCAAGTCTTCCTCAATACAGCATGATGTTCATTTAGTAAATGATGTTTGTCTGACGGCTCCACCGCTTCCAAACCGCTCAAATGTAAATTACAGCATTTCATCCGTCTCTACATCTACAGACGCTCGCCTACGCAACAACACTGATCCTACAGCACACCGACAATTATGCTCACCACAACAGATGACTTTAAACTCAACATCATCCATCTCAATAACGATGAAATGAAAAACCAGCAGCTAACCTGTCTGGTTATAAGCGGAGAAACCAAACCCATCATCAATAAGATGTCAAACTGCTCGCTGACCGAACGCTGAGTAATTGTAGACTTGGGATTACTTGTATTCTCAAACTAGATAACCATGACATGAGGGGGTTAAGGCCATCAACGCTGTAAGAAATACAAAAGCAGCCAGTAGTGTTATTAAGTAAATACTATGTTTAGAGGACATTCTTCTGTTAAGTTACTTTTTCTACCTTTTATTTTCAACGTACAGAACGGGCAAATCCGGTCAAACTCTGTCACTGAGTCTGGCTGTTGAATCCACTGTGAAGCAACAAGCAACAGCTGTGCATATGTGTTTGTTTTCACAGCTGATTCATTCTTCACGTTCAGTTTGCATGAGTTACATGAGCTGACACCATCCGTCAGTGTAAGACAGGAGGAAGACACAGTGCACATCACTCATTCATTGGGCTGGGGATTAGATCAACATATTAGAGAGGGGAGGACGCAGACACTCGAGATGCATCATCAGACCAAGTTAATCTAAATTATTGCTAACACATTGAAATGGTGTGAGCAGGAGATCCGTCTGTGGAAGTGGAGGCGAGTAAAACACATATTTACTGACAGAAGGTGGTGTGAAAGGAATATGTTGTCAGCAGTGTTAGGAAACAGAACATTTGTTCTTCTCGTTTCTGGATACATGTTATAAAGTTACTAAATGGTATAGTTTCTACATGTTTCTGATAGTTTAAGGGAGGAAGATCTGGTTCATATGGCCCCAGACTTCCTCCATCTTCGTGTTCTTTTTGGGAGTAATACTCCTCAGGACGAGTTAACAGATTTTGGCATCTTTTCTTTATCAAAACAAGACCGTCAGTGTCCGAGATGCCCCCAGACGGAGAGAGAGAGGAAGCCAGTGTGAAATATGAATGGACGGAGTCCGTCCCCTGCAGCCACCCTCTGTTGTTGGAGAGCTGCTCGGGTGTCAGCCGGAGAAGTCACTGACCTCCCCCAAAAAAACGTGACTCACCCAGCTGTCGACTCGTCAGCCTCGAAGGCTTCTAACACTCGCTAACCCTTCCATCACGACACCAGGGGATCGGACTGACTCATGCACACCCACACCCACACACATTAATAAATATGCTATGTGACTGTCTTACCTGTGTGGTTGGAGAACTGGACAGAGTTGATGGAGTCCACCTCAAACCCTAACACCTGCAGGACCGAGAGAGGAAACAGATCAGGAGTCAGGGGAACTTAGGAGTAATGGCCACACACAATGTAGTAGTACAAATATACCACACAATGTACAAGTGATGCTGCTACCAAAGCACCTGTTTAACCATTAAACCTGCAACAACAGTTACTGTTCACTCTCCTCGTAGCTCTGTTTGTCTCTTTAGGTATTCAGCGCTGCACTACGTTCACCAGCTAGTCGCTAACTTTGTCTTTCTTTGTCGACAAAACGCTTTGAGAGGGAACCAAAGCAGTGGAGCTGCAGGGTGGGAAAGCCAAAACAATGAGCTGAAAAACACTATGAAAGAGTTTAGCCGTCCTTAAAACAGCATCACATGACATGAATATGTGTTGGATTAAATACATTTTCTCTAATATTACATATTGTGACATTCCCTCCGTGTCATATTGGTTCATAACTGCAGCATGTAAACACGCATCTGGAACTCAAACTGGTAAATAAAGAGACAAAAAAACAAAAGTCTTTTGTTTTTTTGGGCTGTGATCGATGAGCTCAGATAAAAAAAAGAACGTCCTCTCAGCTGAAACATGCACAGATCTGGAAACAGCTACACAAACCAAACTCTCCGTGTCTTTTCTTTGTTCAACAGATTATCTTAATTACCAGAGAGAGCGAGAGAAATACACATGACCCGTCCACGTGCGCAGTCAATTGTTATCTGAATGACTTTATTTTAATTAGGTTGAAACAGGAAGCCGGCAGAGTGAATGACTTCTTTGTTCTTTTCAATTGAGATACAAGAATCAGCCTTCAGTGACTCACCCCCCCACCCCCCCGACCCTGAGCTTTGTCAATGTTTGGGCTGTATCGCCGTCTGACTGATGGAAACTTTCCTCTGGTGTGGCACATGTTCTCTGAAAAGGTGAATTTGTATCATCATCATGAGGCATTCATGAGAACATGGGTCAGGAACGCAGAACATGACACCGTTTCTGTTGAAGTTAGACGACTTTATTATAAAAGACAGTAAGAATACAGTCCTGCCGGACATACCTGTCAGACGCCCAGCAGAGAAAATGTTAACTTAAAACAAGTTCTCAGTGTAAAGATTGGCTACACTTAACTAAAACTAATGCAGTAAATCCAACCTTCATGGAAGTAATAATGTCGTTTTATTTTGTATTTTATCGAGGAGTTCGTGTCCTCAGTTGTGCCTCCTTTAAGGTCAATTTAACGGTTGTATTTTGTGGTGCTGTTGAGTTCTATTACATTATATTACACATTGATTTGAGTGACATAGGTGTATAATACAAGTCAACAGCAGAGACTACAGCCTCTAAAATTACCATGAAAGTAAATCTAGAAACTAAACAGGAAACTTACAGCACGGGACACCACAACTTTAAATAAACATGGGTTCCCATTCAAGACGGATTCTGGTTATTCACAAGAACAAAACGTGCTACCAACTCTTTCAGCTGCTTGATATTGACTTGAAGTTGAATTTAGAATTGATTTGGAGGTTTTTCTGCTTGCGCGTGGCCTATTAAACGTCTTCTAAAAGATCTGTTTGCTGCTCCAGAGTCGTGAGTAAAACTGTGTTTGACTGTCTTATAGACGGGACTCTTTCCCTGCTGATTGACTGTTGATGTAAAACGGCATACTCATCTCCTGATGTTGACGGGGCTAAGAATGTGTAATTTAGGTCACATCCTTTCTCGCTCCATTCACGAGCCTCAAGTCAGTGACACAGATAGACTGTTTACAAAGCCTCGTCACAGACGGAGGAGATCAACCAACATTAGAAACAGTTTGCCTTATTTTTGAGGAAGCACTTATGAAGACTTATGGTAATTCCCAGATGAGGAAGGCCTCCCGCAACCAACGAATGAAGAGTTTCTTTAATTAAGGAGTGCCACAGAACAGAATGATCATGTCTGAGTCAACACAAACACTGTGTTTACTGCATCGTGACTTAGCAGAGAGTCCCTCAGCTTTGGGTTAGCTCCTCTACATTTATAGTTTGCAAACATGATAAACATATTTCTATGTTATCGTCTTTTTGTTCCTGCATCAGCCTACAAATTATGTGATCAATATTAACCTACAGTATGTTCATGAGTTTAAGGTGTATTTGCACTGCAACCTACAATATGTTTCTTACTCTTAGTCTATAAACCAAAGACCAAAATTATGTTAAAATTATTTATTTTATTGCACTAGGAGAAACGTGTCAACGGCCATGCTAGCAGCTCTATGAGGCCGTATTTCGGCACAGCAGAGCTTCAAGCTAAATGCTAATGTCAGCATGCTAACATGTTTACATACATTTAGCTATAACGTTAACCATGTTCACCATTAAGCCTGTTAGCATACTAAGTAGCACTATGTCAACCCATTTAATAGCTGTTTCCGCCTGGACCAAAGACACAGATTTCCAATTAGACATAGACAAAGACATAGAAAGCTAGCTGAACTCTTCATTTCACAAGCTGTTACCAACAAAAGCAGCATTGTGAATGATTTTCAATTATCAAGGTAGTTATCTATTAATCAAGTGATTGCTTAATCAAGGAACAAGTTCAAGCATTGAACACAAGTCTGTCTGGCTCCAGACGATGAAGAATGTCCTCACAGGGCTTCCTCTGAAGGACGCTTTGGACAATATCATCGGAAACTGAACGAACTGCCACATACATATGTAGTAAGGCTTGTTATATATCCAGATATCCAGCTGGCTGAAGTGTCCTTGAGCAAAAAACACTGCACCGCTGCTGGTTCTGATTTCAGGCTGCTTTCATTTCAGAGGGTGAGACGCAAACAGAAAGCGTCCCTTTGAGAATAAATAACCCGTCACATTGATAATTCACTTATTCAGCTTTTATGGTCTCTCACCCAGGACGACTTCTGCACAAACAATCTGCTTAAGTTATTCTGTTCTTGAGTGCTCTCTATGTGAAAACTGAATCCATCCAGCCTGTCTCCATCTCCAGTGACGTCACCAGGAGGAATCCTGTGGCGGCCAATCAGAGCCCTGCTTCCTGCTGACAGGCCTGCGATTAGAGAAGGGATGCCCTGCACGCCTGCTGACATCATCATCATCATCATCATCATCATCATCATCATCATCATCATCATCATCATCATCATCTCCCTTATCTTAAACACCAACTGAATCATGGTTGTGACTCTGAATAGTAAGAGCAGCTCTGTCACCGGCCTGTGGGCTCTCTGTTTATTGGTATTAAATATAAAATAGTCGACAAGCATCAGTGGTGGTAGATTTATACACTGACTGCAATAGTCACCATCCAAATACACGTATAACAGTGTAAAGGTATACTTAACTCGGTGTCTGGTGATTGTTATTCCTCTTTACATCTCATTCAAGTTAAAAACATGGTTTGTCTCCTTTGATTTAAGATTGTCTGACACTGAATAATCAAACAGCGTGAATGTAATCTTATACTTTATGTAGAAATGTTTTAAACATGCTCTGGGAAAATATTGGCAGCAGCACACACTGGTTTAAGTATTAATAATTGATAATTGTAATACGTGTGCAGTGATAATAAATGTTGTTATAGTCTTATGACATCTTATTTCCCCCCCAAAAAATCAATTAAGAGTTATCTTTTCTATACTAACACTCTTGCATCTTGACATCAACCCATAATGAGGTGGAAAGATTAGATACTTGTGTCTTTAAACAGCCACAAGCACCAACTGGTCTTACAGTACACTGAGTACAAAGTACTGGTTAATACCAGTGTCTAGTGTAAGCTCCAGCAGGCTGCACTGGTAGAAACTATTTAAACATAGACTCTTATATAAAAATAGACTCTTCTCACAACAAGTGACCGTCTTTCAGGGTGTATACTGTCGGCCGACACCGACCTCTTCCATCACTACCGACGATATGAAACTATCACCAGCATCACGGCGGCAATTACAGACCCAAAGCAATCACTGTTATCATCCTGCTGTCAACATTAGGGATCATAAAGGGAGATGATTCTCACATCCATGGCCAGGAGGAGATAATAGCCTTTGTGTGCTTTTTCATAATATGAAATAAATGGCTTGTTTTGTAAGCATTCGTCCTGTTTTTGTGGACAGCTAGTGGCCACAATGTACAAACAAAGAGCAAGACAATCCCTAAAAAGGAGCAACTTTTAAGCAGTAATCAATGCTTTCAGTGCCACTGAACTTCATAAACAAAGTGTATGTGGTCTTTAAGCCTGTGTGCAATTACAGTCGCAATCTGGTAACATGTTCAACTGACAGCTATGATAAACCCCACAATCTGTGCAACTTTATTAGCGCAGCAGCACATATCTGTATTGATTATGTGTACGTCCTGTGCGAGGGACTTGCAGGTTATCACTGCAGGAGGCTGGACTTGTGTCCAGATGTTCCCATTACAGCTGTCTGTCTGACTGTCTGTCTGTGAGCAAATGTTGGCTGCCTGAGGCAACCCACAATTCACCTTGCTACCAATACATTATCTGACACCCCACACACAATGACAGGTGTCGTGCCACAATAAAAACGTTCCTCCTCGTCACACCGTTAAAATAAAGAATGATAAAGAGTGACGAGAAAGCTGCCATGTTATCCTCCATAGGGGAACAGGAAACACAATGTGCACACGACACCTGTCGTTACGACATCTAGATGACAATAACCGGGATTTTTTGGAGGGATTTTCACAGCATGTGTGGCGAAACCATCTTTTATGGTCTTTTGCGCTAAAAAAAATTATTCAACAAAATAACCCGGATATGCACGAGTATGTTTATACTGTTGTTGGGAAGTCGCAGTCAGATTTTTGTGGACAGGCGTGTCATCAGACCGGCCGGCGGTCGTGTCCGAAAACGGGTGTACCGTTGTCCGATTATGGGTGCATGTCAGTTGTATTTACCTGTAATGGGAAAGAGGCGCTCTTGTTGCCCACGTATCCCCGGACTACGTGGCTCTGTATGGACAGAACACGGCATTCCATGGCGGCTCCCGGTCAGCCGTTGGGGGGGTACGAGGATAGATCCGTTATTACTTCAACGTTAATGACGTCAACACATAACCGAAAAAAACCTTTAATTTTAAAACACAGCGGTTGCCAGTTAGGAGGAAGCGACGTTAGCTTAGCTAGCTAGCGTTAGCTAACCAGCTGTGAGCTCGTGGGGTGGTTTGTAGCGGGTGATGTGCGAGTGAGTGTGTATGATGGTGAGAGTGAGAGAGAGGAGGGGGAGAGAGATAGAGAGCGCGTGACTCGCGCGGACACACACGCAAAACAACCGTTTAGTAACGACCGTTACGTCGTTATAAATGTTGCCGTTAACGTGTAGCGAACTAAAATAAGTGTGTCACGAGAGCTGACCAGACGACCGGGGGTCACGTGCAGCTTCACTAACACTGAAGGACAAGATAGCAACACACACATACGTACAAACGCCGGTATTCTGCGCAGGCGATCTGAGTAACCGCCTGAAATCCAGTGACGTCACCGCAGGACCACTTCACAGCGCATCCTGATCAACACAGCTGGAATTGAATGAATGTGAATGACAGCTCTCTCCTCATTTGTTCTATTTTAATCTATTCTATCACAGCCGAATTATTTTAGAACATATTTTACATTAATGCATTACTCTGACGTGTCTGCTCCCTGCCAAAATAAAGCAATTATTTAAAAAAAATATTTCGCTTTTTCTTTTTAGGATGTAGTTTCATGTAGCTCACTTTTTATTTTTTTGGTGTGTGTGTGTGTGTGTGTGTAACTGTGGTTGTGACTCACATCATCTCTTATCACAGAGTCGTGACTGAGGGGGATCCGACTTGGCAAAGACTGCCTCTGTCACCACACTGAGACACGAGTGCATCTACAGACAAATATATACAGAAAGAGCAAGAAATACCAGAAAGAGGGAGAATGTGAGGACATACAGACTGAGATTAATGGAGCCAAATAGAAAATCGTGACCCGACAGCTCCACCTGCTGTTCACCCACTGGGACACAAACACACACATCCTAAACATCTGAGAACACAACTATTATTATTAATATATTGCACAACACAAAAAACAGCCAGGAGTACATGTTCATTTGTTTTTAATGTCAAATCACCAGAGCAATCTTCATGTGCTTCTCGCTCCCTCTTTCTGTCCTCTATGTAGTAAAATGTGAAACGAGGAGGGGATGGAGGAGGAAAGGACGAGTGGGGGGGGGGGGGGGGGGGGGGGGGGG